GAAGAACATTAAAACATTGCTGTTGGCCACATGTCGGCAAAGTTATGTGACATTAGTGATGTTTGTACTTTCAGCATTAACTTGGTTTTAAAGCCTATATAGGCTATATATATATATATATATATATCATAATAATCTGACAATAACTATAATATTGTCCATATTATATTTACATTACCACAGGGAGATGACGTTAGTCTCATGAACAACATTAGCTAATTGTTATTTACTAACTAATCTTATATGACTGTTCAGTACAGAAATGAAGCCCAACAATCATGTTTTACAGTCCTGTGGTCTCAGCCTCAGATACTCAACTAATCAAAGTGATGTCAGAACAAAAATGATTGACCAACAAAACATTTTTCTCCTTCATTTCTGTCACACAAAGCTGTATGTAACGTTTCTCGCGGTTAGTATCATGGTTGCTAGGCAACCTGAACAGCGGGACGAAAGGCTAGACCGTCCCATTTCACAAGCCTCTCACTTCCGCACTTCTCGTACTTATAGTACGCACCGTACGTAGTACGCGTAGTGCGCGTACTTCAAGCGTGCAGACTCTGAATTGGGACACAGCCAAAGACACAAGCCGACAGACAGGGATGACAGGCACAGAGACAACACGGGGACAGAGACAACACGGGGACAGAGGCTGAACGGCGAACAGGAAATGTCAAAATAAAAGAAGGAGCACAGAGAACAGAGGAAGCATCAAAACCTAAGAACCAGAAATTCACCAGAAACATAACAAGAATTAAACCGAAACAAAAGATGATATTAATCAAAACAACAACACTGAGTCACCAACTCCAGGACAGCATCGAGCGACATACAGCATAACGACTGACTGTAAGGAAACAAGGTTCAAAAGTCCACAAACACAAAATGCTGAACTATTTGATTATTGAAATGATTAAGATGTGCCCTTAAAATAAGCTTAAATTAATCCTGTATCAGGTTATTTTAACCCAAACAAACCAATAAGTGCAGCTCATTAAAATAAATTTAGCTTTTAAATCTAAACTACGAATCCTTGAGGCCAAGTCCATAACACGCAACTGTTTCAATTAGATTGATTTTCATTTTAACTGTTTTTTT